TTTGGAACCAGATCTTGATGTGTCTCTCGGTCAAGTTCAGCATGACAGCCAGCTCCACTCGGCGCGGCCGCGAGATGTACTTGTTGAATAGAAACTCCTTCTCCAGCTCTAGCAGCTGCGCGCGCGTGTAGGCCGTGCGTGTCCGCTTGTTCTCCTCCGGCTCGGCCGCGTAGGCGCCGCCTGCGGGCGACAGAGTGCGTGAGAGCAGCCCCAGGGCCCCGACCCCTCTCGTCCAACCCGCCTTGTGCAGTCCGACCCCTGAGCTTGCAGCACAAGGAGGCTCGGCCTACCCCAGCTCCAGGCCTCCCAGAGCCGGCGCGCGCAGATGGGCCGCGGCCTCGGAAATGCCCCAAGCCTTCCCCAGTTAAAGGTGCTTCTGCCTGGAGGCTAAAGGTCCCCTGGCCATTTCCGGGGGAGCTGCTACTGTCTCTCAGCCAGTGGCTATCCCACACTCCACCTAACCGATTGTTGGCGGCAGCTGACGGAAACCCACACATCCATCTGTCCAACCCCTCCATTCTATACAGGCAAACGTGGTTGGAGGCTATTGAGTCATTCCGACTCCTAACGGCCCCATGTGACAGAGTGGAACTGCCCCATAGGGTTTCTTTACAGGAGCACATCACCACATCTTTCTCCCTCACAGCCGCCGAGTAGGTTAGAACCGCCAACTTTTGGGTTAGCAGCCAGAGCTTAACTTTGGGGCACCAAGGCTCCTTTACAAAAGCAACAAAACGCCACTTACAAAAAAACAAAAACAAAATAAAACAACACGTTTTCTGACAATAAACCAAAAACCAAACTCATTGCCCTCGAGTCGAATCCGACTCATAGCGACCCATCCTTGGGTTTCTGAGGTGGTATCACTACGGAAGTAGATTGCCCAACCTTCCTTCCGAGGAGTGGCTGGTGGATTTGAACCGCCAGCTTTCTGGTTAGCAGTCAAGTGCTTTAGGCACTACCTACGAGAGCTTCCTGCCCGGCATTAAGGGTACATTTCAGATCACCACCCTGTTCACACAGATAGACAACTGACACACAAATTTCAGGACAGCAAACCAACCCTGACTGCTTATGGTTGTAAATTGTTCCCCATTGTTTAACAGTTTCCTTCCAATAAAAAAAAAGGGGGGGGGGGCAGGGCTCAACTGTAAGTTAATTTCAGGACCCACATGGGTGCAATTCGCAATAGGCAAAGGCTCGCTGATATAGGTTATGGTGCTGATATTGTTATACCCACCATATTTGATCTCCCTGTATAGTTATACAGTATCTGTCTACGTATATATACACATCCCCATTCCCAGAGCCAGTAAAGCCCATTTTCTGTAATCTTTTAGATTCAGCTGGGCCCTTGCCCTCGGGGAGAAGGGGATACAGCTCTGGGCCCCAGGAGTGGTCTCTTTTCTCTCTACCAGGCGCTGTGCTCTGTGTACGACGTGCCTGGAGACCGAAAGCGAGGCGCTGGGCGCAACCCGCTGCGGTGTGCCGGGAGCCGGCGTGATGGTGCGGGAACACTCCGCCAATGGCGCACGGATTCTCCTCCAAGCCGGTGCCTGGAGGAAGCCACCGCGCGGCGTGGTCAGGAGACCAGCGCTCCACACTTGGGG